GGCGGTGGTGGCAGGACCGGCCTGGGGCCGATCCAAAGGCCTTGGGGGCCTGCATCTGGCCCCTGGGCGTTAGGTTGTGTACCCCTGCTCCAGAGTATCAACCCCTGGGCGGGATGTAGGTACCTTCAGAGTCGTGCGACTGGCGGTCACATGGTGTCATGTGGTGACTCTGGATGCTGGGGGGGTGACCATTGTGGTCTGTCCAGGTTGGGGGGAGGGAAAGGCAGTTTGCCCCCCCCACACGCACTGGGTGACACCAACCCAAGTGACGCTACTGCTATGAGAATGGGGCTTGTGGAGTAAATCCCTTGGTCACTGGTGAGTGATGTATAGTCCTCCAGATGTCGTCGGACTACGGCCCTGATTCTGATTCACCATCAGAAGGGCTATGCTACCCTGATGTAAGTCACTAAAAAAAACACTGAATACCAGGCTCTTTCGGACTGGTTTAAAGATGCATGCATTTTTGTGATACAGCTCTTTGAATCACCCTCTGCCGCCACGCGCGAGCCCCCGTGCGCACGGCTGCCGCGGCCGCTACCGCAGCTGCCGCTACCGCGGCTCCCGCCGTAGGACGCGCAGCTCCAGCTGCCACGGCGCATGTCGCGGCCGCCATTTTGTAAGTCAAAATGGCGGTTGTGACGTGTTTGCGCATGTGCAAGAGTACTGCGCATGCACAAATGCGTCGCGACCGCCATTTTGACTTACAAAATGGCAATTGCCGCGAGTGCGCCCGAAAACGTGCTCTGGTGGCGGCGGCAGCAGTGCGGCGCGCAGTGGCGCACGGCGGCGGCAACGGCGGCAACCTCCAGCCTGGGCCGGTAAGTACGGGGTCCTGGGCCTTAACCAGCCCCCGGGCCGTAGGTTGCCGGTCCCTGACCTATAATGTAGTGTAGTCTTCCTCTTTCCGGATTGCCTTCCATCTTACCAAGCATCATTGTCTTTTCTAGTGAGTCTTGTCTTCACATGGTATGTCATAGAATCATAGAATCATAGAGTTGGAAGAGACCAC